CATATTTGCTGGAGCAAGGGCTATAGCACTGAGTAGGTTTTGCAGAGTATGAAAATTAAAGCTGGATTCTTTCTACTATATTCTCTCTATTCTACATCAGTCTTTTGAGTGAGACATGGTGGAGATGTTTGGTAGATTCTGTCATTGTTTAGCAAATATTTCTGTTCTCTCCTAATGGAAAGAGCCAGTATTCTTTATGGCCCATTGATATTGGGTTTGGCCTCACGGCTTGCTTTAGCTAAGGAGATGTGAGAAAACATAATGTATACCATGTGCTTGCATGGTTGTGCTTCAGTTCTCTTACATGAGAAGAGCACACCCCNATGTATACCATGTGCTTGCATGGTTGTGCTTCAGTTCTCTTACATGAGAAGAGCACACCCCCTTCTGCCTATGACCCAGAATGACAGACATGTGGAGCTGATTTGAGCCTGATCCATCGCCTGAAACAGCCATCACAGCCAATCCAGAGACTTCATGTGCGAGAAGCAAATGTTTTTCAAAAGCCACTGACATGGTGAAGTTGTTTGTTTTACAGCATCATCACATCAAAACTTCACTGAATTAAACCATCCATCTAAGTAAAAGAAAACCAGGCAGATACAGCGATTCTTTCACTTTGCTCAAGACTGTAGGGCAAAACAAGTGTGTAATTTATAGTTTGCTGCTTTAAAAGCAAATTTCTGTTGATACATTAGTTGCTTAGCACAGTGTCCTATATATATAAAATGAAAACTTAACTTGGAAAATATCGTGTTGTATCTGAAGGAAGAATTACCCAAGGTAACATATAAGAGTGTAAAAATGCCTGTACACTTGCCAATTTTTTTTCAATTAAAGTTAAAAAGTAAATACCAAAGCTACTGAAAAATCTAATTTCCCTAGCAGTTACTACCCTGGTAATACTAACAATATACTNTTTTTTTTTTACTGCTGTTGGTAAGTCAGTAAATTTAGGAGCAAAAGTGAAAATGCTCATATTTTTTGTTTTACAAGTTTTGAATAGATTGTTATTAAAGGGAATTATCATCCATGCTATCTACATTACTGGTTAGAAATGTTATACAAAATTATTTTAGTAGGCATAATTAGTTTTTCTTGATTTATGCATAGCCAACATTTTTTAGTTCAAAAATTAAAATCTGTATACAGTACTTTAAAAATATTCTTTGTTACTGCTTTCTACTATTATCATAGAGACATATAAACCATATCGGTACCTTAAACATCATGAAAATTATTGTCCTTTATGTGACAAGTGGATATTATTTTTCAGTAATTTTGTTATAAATTCTTTGAGCAATAGTATACATTATATGTAGATTATTTTATAAAATGCTCTTTTAGTGACATAGAAGAATTTGTCATTTAAAGAAATTTGCTGTTGACTCCATTTATGTAAACTTAGTGGTCCACACC